CCTGCTCAAGAAGGATGCATTTCAGCAGTCCCCCTATTTTGGGAAATTACTCCATGTTGCGAAACCGCAGACTTCACGACGATTGCAGGGTGACTTGCCACTTCCCTACAAAAGGCCCAGACAGCATAGGCAGAATGTAGGCCGCCGTCTTGCCACTTCCAGTCCTGGGACAACAACCACAGCAGCAATGAACCATTCTGGTATCCTAAACCTCCAAACCCTAAGCCCTGAACCCTAAACCCTGAAAAATCATAGGGTGACGGCGGCAGCGGCGGTGGCAATCGAGCTGGCGTTGGTAGCGGCGGTGGCAATCGTCGTGGCAATTGCACGCTTGGTCACAAGAGCACGTGAATGCGCAGACCCTGAGCGATCGGCTCTGCCACAGCAATCAGATCTCGACACTGGCAGGCAATGGGAATGGCCTCATTTCAAAGCACGTACACGGCGCAAAGGCAAGCATCCATACATATGAGCCATAATCTGAACTCCGAGTATCCCGCTTACTAACCCTATCATAGCCCGCTATATGATACCCTATATAACCCACCTTGAAGGAGTTTAGACCCTAAGTCCTAAACCCTATACCCCAACCCTAAACCTTGGCCTTGAACCCTATGCAATCCCTCTTGAAGGAGTTTAGGCTATAGCTCACATCCGTACAGCCAATCGCTTTGACAAAACTGTGCCAGCAACCTGCATCTGAATCGGTGTTGGCCTGGCATAGCCCACCTGCAAACGACAAGAACATTTTGGTAGTTTCCCCAAATAGGGGGACCTCAAGATAGACCCCAAAATGATGTAGTCCTTTTCTTGGGACCACCAGAAGCAGTGTACTCATATTCTTGGGAAAAAACATCTCTCTACACAGCCGGCTGACCAAACACAGAAATAAGGGACGTGGCATCGCCTTCTGGACGGCTTCTAACAGCTCCCACGGCAAGGGACCCTCCGACCATACTCGCATCGGCACAGGCCTTAATAACCGGGTTGCTGCTGAGGAACCCAAACTAAGATACCAACATATGATGGGGACATGGTAACTGCAACTAATAGGGCTTCTTGAGTATAGCAACTTGATTTAAGTTCCTTAACAACAACCCAGCAATAAGCATGACAAAAAGCATGGCGCCGTTGACATTCGAAGGGAGAAGTAATAACATTAGCGTAAGGATAGCAGCAGCACACGTAGAAAAGGTGGTGGTGGCAGGGTTGGTGGTGGTGAAGATAGCAGCTGTGGTTGGCATTGGTGGTGGTGGCAGGGTCACGAGGCAGCAGCAGCAGCAGGAGCAGCAGCAGCAGCAGCAGCAGCAGCAGCAGCAGCGGAAGGCAGCCAGCAGCAACAGCAGCGCAGCAGAAGCGGAGTCAGTGCTCATTGCGCTGCAAGAAGAAAACCAGCTATCCACCATCTCAGGTTCACGCACGCGGCCGCCGCGAATGAAAATCTGGAAGTCCTCTTGAGCTGTGCAAAGAGTTGCGGGGCACACCCAAACATGGCAAACACAGCCCCAAGCCCCAAGTTCTGGCATTCTTGTGGCTCAGATATCCAAACTATTGCAATGAGGCAGTCCGCGGTAAAAACACGTGTCTTCGGTTCCCCTGAAGCCTGGTCAGTGTACCTCGTACTGCTGCTGGTCCCGACCACGCTGTGTTACAGCTGCTGCAAGGAATTGTGACTATGGACGTGATGACGACTACTACTACTACTCCTCCTCCCTCTCCCCCTCCTCCGCCTACTCCTCCTCCTGCTCCCTCTTCGACTTCTTCGTCTCTGCTTCTTCTGTTGGTGGGGTGCCCAAGTTCAAGGGCTCCTCACGGAAGATGCGCCAGTCGCGGGTCGTCATCTCAGCCACCGGCTTCTCCGTCCAGTGGGTCTGGCGACACGCGGATTGGGCTCAAGCTGAAGGGTTGAAGGTTTAGAGGCTACAGAAGGGCATTTTAGGGCTTAGGGATGTAGGGTCTAGGAGCTTAGTAAATTAGGGCTTTGGAGTGCAGCGTTTTAAGGCTCGAGGTTAAGAGGTTTAGCGGACTGAAGAGGTTCAAGAGGGCGCAAAATCATGACTGCAGGCCCACTACTCCAAGGTCACCTCGTGTCCCGAATGCCAGTTTCAGGGATTTACGTTGCACTTCTGCTGGTGCAATTCCTGCTGTTAGAGTCTAGGCTTTAGAAGCTATATGGAAGTTTCCCAAATAATGGGAACCCAAATATAGGACCCCGTATTATAGGGAATTTAGACCAATACCCATATGGGAACGGGGTCCAGGCAATCAGGATGCCCGTGACCAATTCTTCAGATGACGGACGTTTCTGCTTTCTTCAAGATGGTGGTTTCCTTAAATAGGGTGACCCAAATATAGAGCCCCAATTGTCCCCGCATCCTTTTTTCGAAAGTCAGCTGCGCGCAGAGCTCCCTGACGAACCAGGATTCCAGGTCAATCAGCTCCTCCCAGACATGTCCTCCGATGACCTTCATGAAGCCATGCTCGTAATCAAAGATCCAGTCGATCGGGTATGCGCCAAGATTGGCCCGCCAATCTTGGCGCATACTCCATCGACTGGATTTACGATTATGAGCATGGCTTCATCAAGGTCATCGGAGGACGCCAAACCCTAAACCCAGATTCCAGAGCTTCGTCTACTGCAGAGAGCTGGTCAACTCTTGACCTGTTGCTTGCCCGTGCGCTCATGGCCTGCACCGTTCTCAATTTCCTCAGTGACCTTCATGGCAAACGGCCCTTCTGCATGGCCGCAGTCCAAGCTTCGCTTTCCCAGTCAGATGTTTCAGTGCCAGTATGGCTTGGGGCAGAATGGCTTGAGCTAAAATTGCAACCGTCAGTGTTCATGTTTCCCATCAAAAATGTCCACCCAACGAAGTATTGAACCAACAGACTCTTTCCATTATCAGTCGACTTTTACTTGAATATGTGCTATATGAGCTATAGTCTAAACTCCTGGTATCCCCCTTAAGAACCCCTATAATAGTCCCCTGCTTAATCCCCTACATAAACCCCTTTTTAAGGAGTTTAGATTATGGCTCATAGCACCAATGCAAACACATCAGCGATAGCCCAGAAACTGGATGTTGCTTCCCAGTCATACTAGCAACATCGGGGTTCAGGGACATATCATCAAGGGCACTGGCAAAAACCCTTCCGCGAAAATGCCAAGACACTCTGTATTTCTCCAACACATGCAACGAGCAGCCCTTCAAGAAGAAGAATAGTCGAGGCTACTCTCGTATTACAGCGATAACCACAGATGGCGCTTGTTGGTTGCCCAAGACTGACGGCCTTGTTGATGTCCTTGTCCTCAATGTCTCGCTGCTTGAAGGACAAAGGCTCCTGTCAAGGGCACAGCCAACAGGATCCGCCGCCTCAGAGGCAAGCTTCCAAAACTCTTGTCCCATTTAATTGACATGAAATCTCCATATTTCCCATTTCATGGTGCCAAGAAATCTCCATCTTTGAGGTTAAATGCAGTGGCACACCTTTCGGGGGCTATAGTCCCCCTTAAGTAGATAGGCCTAAACCCTAAGCCTTAAACCCTAAACCCTAGGACTATAGCATCTCCAGGAATTGCAAAAGGTCAGCGCCTTCGAGGGCTGGACGAAGGCGGACACATCCTCAGACAATGCAGCGAATGCGAGCCAGAAAACTTTTTGAAAGAAGCAGCCACCCTTCCCCCCTAAACCCTAAACCCCTTAAACCCCCTAAGCCATAAACCCCCTAAACCCCCTAAACCCTAAACCCCTAAACCTCCTGAACCCTGAACCCCCTAAACCCTAAACCCCTAAACCCTAAACCCCCTAAACCCTGGAACCCTAAACCCTAACCCCCCCATCCCCACCTCTCCGGAGTACTCGGCGCGCTTGGCAATGAGCTCTTCATAGAAACTTGGCTTTGGAGCAGCGCAGCAGTGTCATCATTATTAGTATTCGTATTATTAGTATTATGAGTTTTGTAGTATTGTTTTTATTGGTATTAGTCGTATTATTCATTCGTGTTATTGTTAGTATTAGTATTCTTAGTGTTTGTCACTGGGATTTCTTCTTCTTGTTACTATTACTGCTATTACTATTACTCCACTATTGTCACTATCATTTTTACTATCATTATCCGCAAGCATGGTGGCTTCAACCCGTCTTCATCCGTGTTAATGTCGGTTAAGGGGCCCGCCTGTTGTTCTTGCGCTGTTCTCGCACATCGATTCCGGCCCGATAGCCACGGCCTGCAATGACAAAAACCAAGCACTGAAGTCAACAGAGCTTCGGCACTCTGTAGCACGACTGAACGAGGCCCCAGCCGAACAACAGTTGAGGCTCCAGGCGCTTCGTGTACAACCTCTGCCAGCCCATCAACAAGGCGGATCGGTTTTGCAGAAAGCTCAGGCTGAGAGGCTGCCATTGCCCCACACAGATCCACGTAGCATACTGGACAATGCTTGCCGAGCGCGGAACTATTAAAATTACAACAGCACCCAAAACCCTAAACCCGTTGTATTGGTCCCGAAACCTTAAACCCAAATCACAACACTTGGGAACAACATCTTTGATGGGCGTCCGCACGGGTTGTTGTCGCCGCGCATGGTGTCGTCATCAGCATTCCACCTGAATGATAATGTTGCTTCTGGTATTTGTCTCGTAGGCTCCTACCATGTGCGCTCATTACTGGTAAGGTTGTTCCTCTATACATACTCCCGCTACAGGGTGCCCACAAAAAGCAAAGGGGAACGCGGTGAAGGGTCGGCCAACCTGAACCCTGAACCCTAGATGCTAAATCCTAAACCCAAACGCTAACCCTGTAAACCCTAAACCCCAA